GTGAGGCAGAGGGCGACTCCTCCCCAGGTGTGGGAGAACTTCTTGCCAAAGGTGAGGTGTGGGAAGGAGGTGAAGGGGCATTTTACAGCAGAGATGTTGGGGAGCTGCCTTTCCCGACTCAGAGCTCCATCCATAGTGATGGGAACTATTGATGCCGTCACACGGTCAGAAGAAGCCTCACCTCTGGGTCTCCTCCAAGAACCCCCAGAACTCCTGCTGAAACCATCGGGGGAAAAATGTCAAAGAACAATTAAGAGATCCCACAAAACACAGGGCCACTGGTCGCCAAAACTTTCAAGGCCATCAAAGCACCAAAAACCTGACAAACTGTCTCTGGCAAGAGGAGAAAAGGGACATACAATGGAAGTGGGCAAGGGTACCCTGCATCCAACAAAGACCAAAAACCAAGGAATGAAGTATGGACTCCTTGATAGCATATTTATATTTGTTCATTAACTGTCATGAATGAAAAATGTCACTATGAAGAATATTAATAGTAAAGGAAGCTGGCTTTAACTACATAACATCCCTGTGCTGTCTTCACATCTTTTGGTATCTAAAACCGACTCCAAAATAAGGTTTAAAAAAATCAAGCTCAGATACTACTTCAGATGAATCTGTATTTTTAGCTCAGATGCTACCTCAGAGTGGCATCAGTATTTTTAATTAACACTAATTTTGCCAGCAGACTTTAAAAACTGCCACACAAGTGAGGTAGGTGTACTGAAGGAAGAGGACAGAGCAGGAAGGAAGCGAGGGAGGGAGGAAGGAAAGGAAGGAGGGGAGGAAGTAAAAAGGGAGAGAGAGAGAATTCAAGGGTGCATGGGAAAATACCAGTTATCTCAAGTTGGTGTAAGTCCAACTCACTTGTAACATTTTAAAATTTGTGTTCTTTCTAAATTAGTTTTTGAGACAGGGTCTCACTATGTAGCCTATTTTAGCTTAAAACTCACTATGTAGACCAGGCTGGCTCCAATTTACAGAGCCTCTGCCTCCTGAGTGCTGGCTGGTACTAAAGGAGTGTGCCACCATGCCTGGCTCTTCTTACAGGTTTAATGTTGAGTGTATATTAGAAAGGTATAAGAGGCCAGATCTGGTGACTCATGTCTGTAATCCCAGCACTGAAGAGGCTCAGACAGAAGAATTGCCACACATTCAAGGTCAGTTTCGGCTACATAATGGGAACCTGTCATTTTTTTAAAATAAATGTTTTTAAATAGAGAAGACTATTGAAAATGGTTTCCAGGTCATGTTTTAATTGTAGAACATCTGAGATGAAACATAGTTACTCTTTCTGCTAGAAAGGACTCTGGGGTCTAGACTCAGAATTGAAGGCTTTTGAGAGGAAACATTGTACCACCTTCCTCCACCCACTGAGGACCGCAGGAGAAGCAACAGGCTCCTCTCCACAATGACACAGACACATGTGAGGCGCAGAAGAGGCAACCCTGGAGATTCCTTGGGGTCTACCTCAACCTTGTAGCTGGCCTTGAGAAGAGCCGAGATGGGGCTAGAGAGACTGTGCAGCAGCTAAGAACATTTACTGCTCCTCCAGAGGACACAGGTTTGAATCCTGACACCTTCTTCATACACTGGGCAGCTCACAACTCCAGCTCCAGGGAGAGAGGTGGCATTATTTCAAAGGAAGTGGGGAGAAAGGGCTGTAGTGTGTCCCTGGGTGTGGCTCCTGCAGGGCACGCACTTGTTCCCAGAGTCATCCCTTTCTGACCCTCCTAACTCAGCTTTTCACCTCCACATCTGCAGCCTCTTTGGCAACAGTGTTCAGCTCAAGCCTAACCCACGCCTGCATGTGCTTCCCCAGCAATTTGCTCATTAGTCTTCGTGGGAAAGCACAGAGCTTATTCCTGGAGGAGGGAATATACCGGTGGCCAGGAAGCAGGGTCCCCCCTGCCTTTGCCGGCATCAGAAAGCAAGGCTAAGACAGAAAACTACCTCCTTTAATACAACTTAAACTTTTCCTGCTGGTGCCCACGTTTCACCCAAGAAAGTTTTATATGACCCTGAGCATATACACATATAAAACAGATACATTTGATACTAAGTCATAAAACAAACTTTTAAACAATTCTGTGGCACACACATTGCTTTACCACTTATTAAAGACAAACCAAATTTGCATACCGAGCTCAATGTATTTTATATTGGCATGAATGAAATCATGGCCGAATGCTTATATATAAAATGGCAGAGGCATGTTTAGGGAGTTTGAGAAGTCGTTAGAAATTCTGTCCTAATCTCAAGTCAAATATACTTGAATTTTCTTCATAGAATTTAAACCAGTGACTCAAACACCAATTTTTAAAATCAGACATTCTCATGATATAATCCAAAGATATACTAATTTGATACTTACATGCTGGGGAATGGTGGTAGGAAAACACTAGAAGCCTTTGTTTTCTATAATTATAATTAAACCATTTTCATAAGAGTAGAAAACTTTGTAGGCACAGTGAGACACTGACATCCCTAACACACAGTGGTCTCGAATCTGAGGTTGCTTCAGGCAGGCTTGGTATATGGCAGCATTCCCAATGAAAATGCACAAACTCTGTGTGTGTGTGTGTGTGTGTGTGTGTGTGTGTGTGTGTGTGTGTGTGTGTCCGTGTCCAAGTGTGTCCAGAGCCAAGGCTGTAGTGAATGGAGCATCGAGCACTGCCATAAATACCTGAGATTCACGATGCATGTGAGTTTTGAGTTCATTTTCAATCACTGCACATACGGAACTCTTTTGCTGTTGCCAAATATTTCATAATCGCCCAACTCAGTCACATGACCACATATAGCTATGATCTTGTTTTAGGGGGTTGAGATCTAGAGGATGGAAGCTCCGTCATGGCCTGTCGGAATTTCTCTAGAGAATTAGAATGGCACTAAGAAGAGTTTGGATGGCAGATCTCTCCATCTCAGGACATGCCAGGCTGTGCAGTATGGAAGCCAGACCCACTGAGGACCTGGCACACAGATGTGTCCCTGCCTCTGTCTTACACAGGGCCACTGTGTCTCTCCTCTAGGTGCGGTTCCCGGAGCAGCGGTACAAGGTTCTAGACATCAAGTGGATGCTGCTGCGGGAAGAGAGCAGCAAGCCATCGAGGAGCACATTAGCACTCCCCAGAGACACACAGGGCGCTTGACTTGAGTCTGAGGACCATGTAGGGTGTGGCAGGAAACTATAGCAAGACGGGGGCCAAAGAGAAGAATGGGCCACTTCCCAAACCTCACCTCAGAATGACTGGGGACCAGGTTGAGAAGTGGGCACTGATCCTTAGCAAATAAATCACAAATTGTTACCAAAAAGCAAAACACGTAAGACCAGAATGAATTACAGGAGTTCTAGGAAGGTTTTTCTTTGCTTTTAAGTGAACTATTTAGTAATACACCCTTTTGTGAAAGAAAGGACAGGTCCTTGTATACACAATATACACTATATTACAATATATATATATATGGAATTGTCCTTGTCTACACGATATGTATGGAAAGTGTCATCCACCTGCTGGCTCAAACTGCTGTGCCCTTCATTTTGTAAATATGAAGATGGAGTGACGTCACTCAGAGGAGAAAGGCCAGGCTGCTCAGTGAGCCAAGAGCTGCTGAGGGCCCTTCCTGAACTGCAGGAGGCTTCTGATGTGGTGGAGAGTCAGGAATGCTGAGGGCCCTTCCCGAACTGCAGGAGGCTTCTGATGTGGTGGAGAGTCAGGAATGCTCTGAAGCTTGGATGCTTTCACAGCAATTGCCCTGCACTCGCACTCCAGAGCTAGAACCCACTCTAAGAAGCAAAGAACCCCAAGGCAGGATGAAAAGTGGAACAGATGAGAACGTAGGCACACTTTCTTAAACCTCTCTCTCTCTCTCTCTCTCTCTCTCTCTCTCTCTCTCTCTCTCTCTCTCTCTCTCTCTCTCTCTCTCTCTCTCTCTCTCTCTCTCTCTTCCTCTCCCTCTCCCTCTCTCTCTCCCTCTCCCTCTCCCTCTTCCTCTCTCTCCCTCTCCTTCTCCCTCCCCCCACTTTTGTCTCCAGGCATATTTTTTCATTTATTGAAGAGATTTTTTTTTCACATAATATATCCTGATTACAATTTCTCCTCCCTCTGCTCCTCCCACTCCCTCCTCCACTCCCCTCCTTTCCAGATTCACTCCCCTTCTGTTTCTCATTAGAAAAAATACAGTTCTATTATAACAAAATATAAAATGATAAAACAAAAACTATCACATCAGAGTCAGACAAGACAAACCAACAGAAGGAAAAGAACCCCAAGCGAAGGTACAAGAGTCAGAGACCCACTCGTTCACACTCTCAGGAAGCCATAATGTGCTCACGGAGGACCAGTGCAGACCTTCACGTTCACTCAGCACTGACTTCCGGGATATAATAAGCACACTTTCTAAGAGAGCTGCCCCATCTATTATCTCCTAATTAAGAATGTTAAGAATTCAAAACGCCAAACTGCCTAAGTCTCAAGGAGAAGCCATAGGTCGGCATATACTGGATTCAGAAGTGAAAATGTCCACAGGTAAAATCCACCTATTCTCTCTCTCCTTGTGGACCACAGCATGAACCTCTGCAGGTCACAGAAAACAGACATGGGGACGACCTGTACACCATCAGGAAAGACATTTCTGAGGACTACACAACACAGCAGGTGCGTACTCACCCCTCCCCCAGCCCCCGAGGACACCTCCATGATGCCAGGCACTGAGCACAAGATGAGGGAGGCACCAGCTGTGGCCACAATGGCTCCATTCAGGAACCCTCTGCTGGGATTCTCTTTGAACCATCACCAACTGAGGGTTCCCACAGGGGCCGAGGTGATGGCTCCCTGGTTCTCACCTACTCTGTTCCTCTTCCAGGCTGAATGGTGAAGGCATTGGACCAGTCAACATCTGTAAGTACTCTGCTTGCCTCCTCCCCTTGCCCTGCCTTGCGCCTTGCTCACTGGACAGAGTGGCTCACAGTGTCCCTTGTACCCTTCCCTCCTCCACAGCTGTGGTGCAGTCCACCATGTCCAGCGGCTATGGCAGCGCAGGTGGTGCCAGCAGCAGCCTGGGCCTGGGAGGAGGCAGCAGCTACTCCTACAGCAGCAGCCTGGGCCTGGGAGGTGGCTTCAGTTCTGGCAGTGGCAGAGGCATCAGCGGTGGCCTCAGCTCCTCTGGTGGCAGCTCCTCCACCATCAAGTACACCAGCACCTCCTCCAGCAGGAAGAGCTACAGGCACTGAAGTCCCTGCCACCAGAACTGGTCCCTGACCCCAGACCCCCTGGCTGCAGAGCCCTGTGCTCAGGGGCTGGCCCTGCACTGGCCTTCCCCTGTCCTCTCTAGTTGGGGCTGAGAAGATCACGTGCCTTCATTATTTCTCGGTTTATCCTTCTCTCCAGTGTCCAACTTCAGAACATCAGCAGCCATTGTCACACCATTGGCTCCCATCTATATCAGTCTGACTTAATCTGAGAATGGTTCATTACATGCCCTGGAGGAATGGAAACTGGCCTCTGAAATGGGGAGTCCTCCCTGAGAAGCCTAGCTATCCTGCTCTTCCAGGCTGTCTTCAACAGGTCCCCGTCTGACAGGCAACTATCTTGCCCTTCCCTTTCGGTGACCCTGGATGCTCTGAGACACACCCTGACAGACAGAGCCTGTCTCTATAGTCTTCTCTCATCTTTTTTGTTTCAAAGTGTTCTGCTACATCAAACAGAAATACAATGTTAACTTTCTTGCTCTGCATTGGTTCATGTGGGATCTTCTACATCCCGCATATTTTTCATTGTCTTTGGGCTTTGGGTAACCAGTCTCCTCCCTTTGCTGGCCCCATGCTCTCTTCCTAAACTTATCAGACAACTTCATTTGATGCCGTAGGAATTCTCTAGGAACATGGACAGCATTAACTTAGCCCTCTGCACTTTGTGTTTTTCTTTAGTGTACATCAGGACAGAAAGGAAAACTGTATACTAAAAACTAGTTCAGTGCAGTTTATTTTCTTCTTTTTAACTCCACCTTTAGGTGGTTTGGTCTCTGCAGTGTCTGGGGCTCCCTTGGAGTCTCCCCACCTCAGGGCACTGGTCCTCCAGGGCAGAGGCAGTTGGGAAGAGGCCAGAGTGTCTCGGCTCTATGGTTATTAAGACCTTTGTCTTGAAAGAGCTGCTTTGAGATGTATCCATCAAACTAACTGGTGCAGTACGAAAGCACCCCATCCTCGGCGTGTGGGCTTGAGGCTTCAGAGCATTAACTGCTGAGTGGATCTCACTCAACCCAGAGACGGATGGTTCAGATGAAGAACTTTCTCTCTCTCTCTCTCTCTCTCTCTCTCTCTCTCTCTCTCTCTCTCTCTCTCTTTTGAGACAGGGTTTCT